GGCTATCATAAAGAAATCACCCAACAAGAAATGTTGGAGCAGCTGTGGGGAAAAAGGAACACTTCTCCACTGCTGGTGGGAATGTGGACTGGTGCAATTGTTATGGAAATCAGTATGGAGACTCCTTACAAAAGTTGGACGGGAAATCCCATTTAAACCAGCTATCCCTCTACTGGGAATTTTCCCAGAGGATCTCAAAACATCATATCATAGGGATATATGTGTGTCTATGTTCATAGCAGCACAATTTGTGATAGCCAAATCTTGGAAACAACCAAGATGCCCATCACCTGAGGAATGGTTGAAAAAGATTTGGTATTTTTACACAATGGAGTATTATTCAGCTATTAAGAATGATAAACTCCAAGCCTTTAATTGAAGTGGATGCCACTTGAACATATACTCATAAGTGAAATAAACCAGACACATATGTGTAAATGCCATATATTTTCCCTCATAGAAGAACTCAAAAAATAAATAAAAATAGAATGGTATAATACAAGTAAAAGTGAAGCATAATCTCGAGGACTAACTAATCAAGAGAGGGAAAGGAGAAGATTTTGGAAGCATGACAATGTCAAACCATATTATTATATGTAGAAGATGGGCAAGGCAATGAAAATCTTCAGAAGATTTTTTTAATCTATCTGTTAATTGGAAAGATTCTCACCCTGACTAACTATATACACTGATACCTGAGAACTAAGCAACTGCACTGCAGATGGTAATCTGTAATAGTAGCTTCATGATTGGAGTGCCTGTCATTTTGGTCTTCTGAACACGGGCTGCTTTACATGACATGCCAGTTGCTGCTATGAAGTCTCTTGGGTAGATGGTTGTTCAAAACGAAGGAGGTGGTGAATGAAAGCAAAAGACAGGAAAGGAATACTGTGGGACTTTCCTGCTTGAAGGTTGTATATGGTGAGATTTTTAGACTTATGTGCAAACATAAGAAGTATATAATTCTTTATGCCTATTTTTAAAATATATTCTACTTTTAAATGTTTTTGTCATATTCTGTATGGACTTAAAGCTCAACATATTAATACTTGATGAAAAATATCTGTTCCATATTATGCCTAAGATGTTTGATATGCAGATAGATAGTGAGGTTAATTTAACAGCCTAAGTTTTATGGTAATAACAATAAGCTTCTCTTCTGGAGGGTTAACAACCTAAGTTTGCAGACCAAAATTAGATGAAAAGGAGAGCTACAAGGAAAGCCAACATTTTGGTCCTAGACTTCCAAAGTCAATTAAAACTCAGGACATATGAGAACTTGTACTGTAACGTCATGTAACTCGGCAGTGTCCCAAATTTTCCGATCAAGGAGATTATGGGGCCAAAGAGGAAAGTGATCGATGATGTAGAGTGTGCCTAAGGAGAGTCACATGGAGAGAAAAACCTTCTCTCAGGCTTTCACAAAGAGCACATTGGCCAAGAAATGACCGTGAATCATCCACGTGGCTGACACTGACAAACAATCTGAGGTACAGGAGCTCAGGATTAACCCTGGGGGATTTCACTGACCTTATCAGACCCAAAAGCTACAACTCTTGTTGCATAGGTCCTGCTTTACCTTGCTCTTAACCATCCAGCAGAAAAGTATAAAAACAAAATATTAGAAGTAAAGCCATGCTGTTATGTTGAGCTGTAGGAGACTCAGCTCAACAATTTCTGACATTGCCAGTCAAGAGAAAGACCCAATACTATTATGGACTACTGGACTCTTTTAGATTATTTTGCTGAGTTATCACACCTATAATATTCAAATAACGGAACTTAACCAAAAATGGGTATACAGATGAATGTCCATTTTGTATCTGTGCTTTCAAAATGATTAAGATAGATATAGAGTTACATTCTCTTAATGAAGACAGTGACTTGTTCTAATGGTGCTTATAGATAGGATATCATGTCAGCATCTTGTACAACAATTAACCACTGGGAGAAATGTATGCAATGTGTTAATTATTGAAACTGTCCTACCAATTTGATTTGAAACTGTCTCATTGCTATTTGTTTATCAATAAAATTATGGAAAAGAAAAGAAAAGAAATATCTAGAAGACAAATGTTTACCACTTAAGACTCTCCTCATCATAGACAATGCTCCTGCTCACCCATGAGCTTTCGAGAAAGAACTGGCTGAAGAATTGCTATGGTTCTCAATTGAGTTCCTCATACCTAATCCAAATCCCCTGTTGTACCATATGGACCAACTTGAAATTAGCAATATTTGATTTCAAAATGCTATACAATGAGGAACTGTGTCTGAAGTGCTTCTAGATGGTCATAGATTCGAATTTAACCCTTAAAGAGTTCTGGAAGGAAAATTACATAATCCTTCCTGTGTGGAGTTCACTGAGAAATCCCAGCACAATGTCTCTCTGAGAACACCGAGATCTGCTTCTAAGAAAGTTTGCCCTAAAATTATACAGCAGAGAGACCTTGAAGGCTATGTAGAGCAGCCTGGGCCTCCCAATGTCCACATGGTTGGTGAGAATGTCCCTACAGCAGAGTCCATAGGGTTGCATGTAGACAGTGGTAATGTTGAGGAACACATAGAGGAATACTCAGAGGAATTGTTTACAAAGAAACTTCAGCAACTTCTTGCCAAGCAACAGAATGTGACACCAAGGAGCTTTCTGAAGAGGAATATGATAAGATGACACAGTATTATGGTTTGTGTCTAGTTGTCCCCCCATGGTCTCATGCAGTCATGGGGTAGGGACTTCTAGAGTTAGAGATCAGTTCATGATTAAGGCTGGGATTATGGGTATTAGTATTGCAGTGATTTTGGGTGTAGTACTACACCTAAACTTGGGCATGTGGCCTGAATGCAACTTAAGGGAGACAGACGTTTTCTCTATTGCCTATGTTGCTGCTACTCCTCCCTTGGCTCCTCTTGCTCTTTGCTACCTCCATGAAAAGTTGCTCTCTGCCATGAGCCACTCAACCTTAGAGCCAGCTGAGTGTGGACTGAAACCACCAGTAAGTGTGAGCTCAATAAACCTTTCCTTCATTCATTTTGCATGTCAGGTATTTGTCCCAGCAATGAAAGAGCAATAACTGAGATGGAATTTGGTACCAGAGAAGTGGGGTCATTGCTGTGGCTAAACCTGCCTATGTGTTTTACAGGCTTTTGGGTATGGTTTATGGGAAGAGATAGGAAAGTTTCAGAGATGTCGCGTATAAGAGAAGTGCTGGAACACCTCCTGCTGTTCTGTATGGGAAATTCTGGTCAGATCTTAGAAGATCAGAAGGCTAATAGAAATCCTGCCTATAAAGACCAGGCTGGGGAGGTTTCTGTTGTGAAAAAGGACTGCATTGGTTGTTGGACTCCGGATGACTTGTGTTACTGCTTGGCAGAATGTGTATCTGAAGTTTGCTTATGTCCAGAGACTGCCTGAGACTGAGATTAAGCATGGTGGACTGATTAACCTTTAAAAAGGTATTTCAATCAGCCAAATATTGGGCTAATGGTATGGCTGTTACTGGAGGCATTTTGTCACATTTACATTGAGAATCAATAGCAAAGAGCCCAGCAGGGTGATTTAAAATGTGAGTTTAGCCACAAAGGTTGCACCAAGAACCCTGTGGATTACAAAGACAGAGCTGAGATCTCCACTGCTCAGAATGAAATGATGGCCTGAGGGAATCACAGGGGGCAGCAGGTATCCACACTTTGCAGCCTGAGAACCCCAAGCATAAATGACTTTGCCTTGAGGAGAAAGCCACAAGGCGCCATGTTCCAGATTGGTGACAGCAGGCACGTCAGGACCCAGAATGGCACCAAGCCACTCTGCCTTGAAGCCAGCAGAGTATGGACTGAAACCTCCAGCAATTGAGCTAAATAAATTTTTCTTTCCTTCATTTTGTGTGTTGAGTATTTGTCCCAGCAATTAGAGAAAAGTAATTGAGACACAGAGGCAACATGATTTAGTGATTGTAATGTATGGCCAATGGCTGAGAACTACAGCCACAAGAGGCCTTCTAGAAGTTGTGGTAGAGAAGAACACCACTCAAAACTCATGATTATGTGATTGTTACAGTTCACAACTGTGTTCAACATATCTCACCTCCAGGTAATTTGAAACTAATTTAAAGCAACTCAATTTTTAAAAGACTATTTATAATCATGTAATATTAACCTACATGAAGTCTATGTGATCTTTATACTTGTTATGGTTGGGTATAGTTGTTTCTGCAAAGCCTCATGTAAGTCATGAGGTAGATATGGCTCAAGGAGCAGTGAGTGGCAGGGCCAGAGGGCCAGGGTGGGCCTAGAGTGGCAGGGCCAGTGTGGCACCAACCCTTAAACTGTATTCTTGGACTGCCCCCCCAAGGCTATCGGTCTTTCTGAGGTGTGACAGGGTCATTCTGGACACGGTTGCACCCCAGTGTCTTCAGTTGAGGCCGCCTAAGGCAGAGAGGAGATGTTTAGAGAAGACAGAGTCACTGACCCTCTCTCTTCTGTCTTACTATGTAATTCAGACTGTTTAAAACAATGAAACCTCCAGTAACTGTCAGCTAAATAAACCGTTCCTTCCTTCATTTTGAGTGTTGGGTATTTGTCCCAGCAATGAAAGAAGAGTAACTAAGACAATACTATTATATTGCTACATTGTATTCTCAGTCTACATGGACTCTATCTGATCTTTATATTTTTTGAATTACTATTTTGCTTCTATTTAAAAATAAAAAATACTTTTAATTAATACAGACACTAATCTATAGATTCAGAACTTAAGAGCCATTGAAGCCCATTTCCAGGGTCCAAATATGCCCTTTGATCTGCAGAACAAACTACTAGGGGCCAGGGAGATAGCTCAGTAGAATAAGTGCCTGCCTGGCAAGTGCAGGGTCCTGAGTTCAATCACCAGTACGACAAAAAAAAAAAAAACTAGAGGGTGAATGTTGATTTTTTTATGTGTGTGAATATTTTAGCTTAAAAGGAATTCCTCAATAAAACACAATGTGTACAAAAAGTGTACAGACCTGTGTTTCCTCACAAGGTTGCAAGGAAAAGTTCTGCAGGATTCTGATGGCAGCAAGTTTCATACTCATAAGAGCAAACCTCATGCCAATGCAGTTCCTTGGTCCATTCCCAAAGGGCATGTATATGTAAGGGTTGATGAGGTCCTTGTTCTTTTTACTGAATCTGGTGGGAAAATAGTCATTTGGTAAGTGAAATAAATCATGTACATAAGCTTAAATATCATATGATTTCTCTTATGTGAAAAACCCAAAGTATAAATAACAAGCAAAAAGAAGATAGATAATAAGAAGCAGTAGGGCGATAGAAGATTCCCAAATGGGAAAGGGTTTAAAAAATGGAGGCAAGAAGAAGGAGGGAAGCAAAAGGTTTAAGAATTTTTATGTGCATGCACCAAATTCCCACAGGAATGTAACCATTATGTACTACAAAATTTACTAACAAATAATTTTAAACTACATAAGAACAAGTGAATGAAACATTAAAAACCACAGGATGTATTTGTGGGCTGCTTGCAAATCCTTCTATAATTATTTTCCTCTGAGAATTATAAAATAAAGGCCCTTTCCACTTCCCCTACTATGTTGAAACTTCAAGTATTATTGAGATGAGAGGATGGGAATGCTGTTTGAAATGTGTCATTATACACTAGAATTTCATTCAGATTAGTGATACGTTTCCAATCTGAAGGCACACAGGAGTTAGACTGAATGAAAGAGAAATGCAAGTGAAAGAAAATACATAAATTGGTCAGATGTTCACTGAGGAAGAAGGAAAAACCTCTGTCAGTGATGAATTGTTTTTTGTTTTACTTTCACTTCTTTCCTCTCCTTTTTTCCTTCCCATATTGTTTTTTTTTTCTTTTTTTTTTCAGAACCGGGGATTGAACTCAGGCCCTTGCACTTGCCAGGGAAGCGCTTATTCCGCTGAGCCATCTCCCCACCCCCCTCCCCCATATTGTTCTCATCATGGTAATCTTCTCTACCTGCTCATACTGCACAACTTTTCCCTTTTTTTTCTTTTTTCTCCTCCCAGTAGAAGTTAAAGTCAGGCAAGGAATGTATGTCAGCAGCAAAGTGTCTGCCTGGAAAACATAAGGCCCTCAGTTCAATTTCTGGTACAAAAAATAAAATAAAATAAAATAAAATAAAATAAAATAAAATAAAATAAAATGGGTAAAATAAAATGATTTCTTTTGTACCAGTAATTGAACTCAGGACCTTGTGCTTGAGAGGCAGAAGCTTATGACACTAAGTTATAACACATGTCTAAAATCAGGTGATGTTTCAAGGGCATAGGATCGTTCATTCCTGGGTTATTATCACTGACTCCTTTGTCTATCACCTCCACCAGAGCTGTATTTTACTTAAATGTATTCATTTAGCTCTGTACCTTCAATGAAACTTAATTCATCATATTGTGTTTAAATTAGTGGAAAAAAAACTATAGATTTGTGAAAAGTGATGAGGGCACCAAATTATGTACTTTTAAGACAGTTCTTATACTTTGCAAAACATTTCGACATATTTACAAATAGTATGCTAAGAACAGGTTGGGAGTCCATGGAGGGTTGTGTCAGTGTGTGGATGAGACAACTAACATGGGTGGATGGCTGTTTGGGTAAGTGATGGGCCATGTAAACACATGAATAGTGTTATATGACATAGATTATACTTTAATATGAAAAATATTCTCCACAGTAAATGTTTTTCAATATTTAGGTTTATAACTTTCTGACCCCATCACTAACACTTTCTGAGCACTTGACTCAGTATTCCCCACAGAGTCCATTCAAGACACTTCAGGGAAAGTTCTCTCTGAACCATACACAGCAGAAGATTTAGCTTTTGAATGAGGGAGCTGGCCCAGGATGATGGTTGGAGAAAAGACCATGTCATCATGAAGAGGAATCCTCAGACCCTTTCAAGTGTAATCCTGTACTATTCAGTCGTACTACAGGAAATGGGAGCCACTGGATGGTGGAAACAAGCTTCTTAAAGCTGAAGGTAAAGTCAAAGGCCGCAGGGGAATAGTATAGAAACCCTAAAAGGAAACAAAATTTATCTATTTACACTAGTGGTTAAGTAAATTATGAATAATTTGTATGATCAGTTAAAAAAAGTAAATAGCTTGTAATTTATAGTAAATAAAAAGTAGTACATAATACAAGAAAACATTGAAATTCTTGTCATCAAAAATTTATATATACTGTACATGGATATATGTCAATCAGGAAGTATCTTATTTTCTAGGTGTTGTGGTTTGTATCTTGTTGTCCTCCCCAACCCCAAAGCCTCATTCAGTCATTGGGGCAGATTCTACAGTATGTTATTAATTCAGGAGACAACATGGGGATTATGGATAACAGTACTACTCTAGTTTCTATGTGGTAATCTGCATTACAATGTAAGGAAGGGAGAGAGGTTTGCTAGCTTCTTTAGCCACTACTCCACCATTGGCTATTTGGCTGTTTTCTGCTGCCATGAAATGCTGCCCTCTGCCATGTGCCTGTCTGTCTTGGAGCCAGCTGAGTATGGACTGAAACCTCCACAAACTTTGAGCTTAATAAACCTTTCCTTCCTTAATTTTGGGAGGCATTTTGTCCCAGCAGCACAGAGACTATAAATGGACATGTTTCTCTCTCTCTCTCTCTCTCTCTCTCTCTCTCTCTCTCCCTCTCTCTCTCTCTCTCTCCCTCCCCTCTCTCTCTCCCTCACTCTTATCTAATTATATATTTTGACAATAATTATCACTTTGTAAGTATAAAAGAAACTTCTAAAGACAAAAAAAAGACATACAAGCAAATGAATGTACCATCGCACATATTTTATCTAAGTTACTCTTCTCTTGTTGCTGGAACAAATACCTGACACCCAAAATAAAGGAACAAAAGGTTTATTTAACTTGCAGTTACTGACTGTTTCAGCCCATACTTGTCTGGTTCCAAGTCAGACTGGCACATGGCAGAGAAGAATCTTTCAGTTATGTTATAGGGTAATATCATTAAGCTTATCTTCTGGAGGGTTAATGACTTAAGTTGTCAGACCAAAAATTAGAGAAAAAGAAGGGCTACAAGAACAGCCAACAGTTTGGCCCTACCCTTTCAAGGCCAGTGAGAACTCAAGACATAAGAATACCTATATTGAAACATCCTATGGCTCAGTGATGTCCCAAATTTTCTGATCAAGGAGATTATGGGGCCACAGAGGAAAGTGATTGATGATGTACAGTGTGCCTAAGGAGAGTCACATGGAAAGAAAATATTCTCTCAGGCTTTCACAGAGAGCAAAGTGGTCAAGCAATGACTGTGACTCATCCACATGGCTGACACTTTCAAAGTATCTACAAACTGTGGTACAGGGTTTCAGGCTAAATCCTGAGGGGATTTGACTGACCTTGTCACACACAAAAATTACATTTCTTGTTATATAGACCTTGCTTTATCTTGGTCTTAACCATCTAGCAGAAAAGTATAATAAAGATGTATGAAAAGTAAACCCATATTAATAAGCTGAGCTTTAAAAGGCTCAAGTCAACAATTTCTGATGTTACCAGTCCTACAGATAATCCACTACTCTTGTGGACTACTGGACTATATTGGATTATTTTGCTGAATTCAAGCAACTACAATATTTAAATGGCAATGGAATGCCCTTCTCTGACAAAATTTAACAAAAAAGGGGATACAAACGAACGAACACTTTGTATTTGTATATACAAAAGTTATGGTAGATATACAGCCACTTTCTCTTAATTCAATGAGAAGAAAGATTTTTAGCAATAGTGCTTTGACAGGGTATCATGTTTGCATCTTGTACTATGAATCACTACTATGAAGACAACAATATGCAATGTATTAATTATTGAAACTGTCCTATTAATCAGTTTTGAAACTGTCTCATTGATATCTATTTCTCAATAAAATTTAAAAAGAACAATCCTTCATGACAGCTGCAAATAGGAAGAGAGCAAAGGGAGAAGTACCAGCAGTTCAAGCAGCTAGTTTCTCTTCCCTCCTTACATTGTAATGCAAATTAACTTCCCCTGGGATGGTGTAGCACTCAGGCTCATAATCCCAGTGGATCATGAGATAATCACAAACTCTAGAAGTCTGCCTCCTGACTGCATGAAGCTTTTGGGGGACAACAAGACACAATCCATAACATATGTCATTTCCAGTAGAAGACATCATAAAATATTTAGACTACTCTGGTTCAGAGTATTTTTCCCTTCCCAGGGTCCCAGTACCTTTCAGGGAGAAATTCATCAGGCTCTGACCAGTACTCTGGGTCCCGATGAAGAGCAAATGTTGGTATCATCACGACTGTCCCTTTGGGAATAAGCATTCTATTGACTTGCACATCATTCTTACAGACTCTCTCGAGTCTGTTAGCAACAGGATATAATCTGAGAGTTTCATTCACCACCATGGCCAGGTACTCCATCTGAACCAGGGCATCAAAGGTGGGAACTGCCTAGAAAAAGCAATATTTTGACAAATTGAGATTTGGAGTATATGTTTAACTCAGAGTATATAGTACTATATAATTTTAAGAGAACTGAAAAATAACTCATACAGGGGTGAATAATGGACCTTGAAATCCTCAGGTTTATCAAGGTCTGCTTTACATTTCTCATGAGAGAGTAAAAACATAAACAAATATGAGAGACAGCAACCATTATTCTCAGATAAAACATGCCATCACCTTTCAAAAAGGGAGCACATGTCACTCAAAAAAAAAAAAAAGAAAGAAAAAAGTAAGTCTGCTGTTGTAAACGAGGCAGATGATTCCTTCTTTGGATGAACCACAGTATTAAATTAACATGATATAAACAATTTGGGAGAATCTTATCCTTTGTACTTTCTTTGGCAAACAGTGACTCTTGTGTTTTTTAATACCAAGATACACAACATCAGTTACAGTAAAACTTCTAAGGAGTCTAAGAAATCACACTTTTCCTAACCCCCTGACTCCTGCTTTGAGGTTCAATTGTGAGCTCCAAAGAAAGCCTTTGTGCCCACCTCCTTGCCAAGCCAGTCATGTCAGCCCCAGAGGTAAAATGGCATCACATCCAATAGCCCTCTATCTTGATCAAATATGTGCAAAGGATGTAGGCACCATGTCACTGTCACTCATTTTGCCATAGCAGAGGACGTATTTCACAGGTTAAAAGGAGCCAGAGATTCAATCCAAAGCCCAGGTCCTCTGTGTAAGATGGCCTGGGCCCACTGGATCCTGATTCGACCCAGGCCCTGTGAGTGAGACTGCTCAAGGCCTGCCAGATCCTCAATCAACCAAGAGCCCAGACCCGGTCTTTGAGTGGAACTTTCTCCATCAGACAGGCCTGGTGTGGAACCCTGGTGCAGAACTCCCTGGTGAGAGGCTAGAGGCAAGACTCACTCAACTGATCCAGGAGCAGAACATCTTGCCAGAGTGGCACAGAGGGTTCACCTCCAAGGTCTGCAGCAGGAAGAAATGGAACACAGCAGCCAGATGCAAGACACACCCACCTCCACCTGGACAAATTTGAATTTGGTCTATCTGGACCTGGTACTAAGATAATAACCCTATCAAAGCTCTATATCAAAGGTCAAAAGACAATGCTATATAAAATGATAAAGACAAAGAGCAAAATGCATTCTCAGTCCCCAGCCAAACCCAGAACATTGCAGGAGATGATAGCATAGAAGAAATTGGAAATCATACCCATGAAATCTCTGAAACAATAGCACTGGATGAAAAAAAAAACTACAGAATGGTATAGAGGAAATCAGATCAGAAATAATTTCTGAAATAAAAAAATGATAAAAAAAGTAGTACTAAGTGCTTCTAAAGACACTGACAAAATAAAATAGAGGAAAATAGAAAAATGACGGAATCCTTGAATGAGCAATGTAGGAAAGAAATAGAATACATGAAGCAAATTCAAAGTGCTATACAGAAAATTAAAACCTCAATCACAAGCTGGCAAAACAGGCTGAATGAAAGTGAAAATAGACTTTCAGACCTTGAAGACACCATTGCTGCTAGTGAAAAGTTAAGAAAAGATCTCTTAAAAACAACTAGGATGTAGGAAAAAATAATTCAACATCTGCAAGATGATGCAAAATTGAACAACGTTAAGTATAATACTCATCAATGAGAAAGGAGTCAATATAAATGATATAAAAAGAATATGGACAGAAGTAATAGAAGAAAGCTTCCCAAATATGGGAAAACAATCTGACATTCAAGTAAGCAAAGCATATAGAACTCCAACATCAACCCAATTAAGACCACACACAGACATATAATAATCCAACTGCCAGAAATTCAGCACAGGAGCAGTATACCAAAATCTGCTAGGGAAAAGAAACAGATCATATTTAAAGGAAAATCCACAAGAATAATGGCAGATTTCTCTTCACAAAAAATCAAGTCAAGAAGAGCATGGAGCAAGGTGCTTCAAGTCTTGCAAGAAAACAAATTCCAACCTAGACTGATGTACCCTGAAAAACTCTCTTTCAAGTATAATGGAGAAGTGAAATACTTCCATGACAAAGAACATCTAAGGACTACTGGATGATATGAGATTATTTTGCTGAATTCATGCACCTACAATATTTAAATAGCAATGGAATACCCACTTCTGACAAATCTAAACAAAAAAGAAGATATGAATGAAGGACCATTTTGTATCTGTACATATAAAATAAGATTGATATACAGCTACTTTCTCTCAATTGAATGAGAAGAAAGATTTGTACTAATAGTGTTTGTGGACAGGATATCATGTCTACATCTTACACTGTGAATAGTCACTACAAAGCCAACAATATACAATGTACCTATTATTGAAACTGTCCTACTAATTGGATTTAAAACTGTCTCATTGCTATTTGTTTCTCAATACAATTAATTTTAAAAATCCTCAAAAACCACCAAAAAAATTTTTTCACAATGACACAGAGGTATACAAAAGTAGTCTTTCAATTATTTTTTGTATACAGCAGCAAAATATTTTCCTTAAGCATACTCTACAAATGCACTTCTGCACCCTATGGGGCATGATTCTATTTGGGTCTACAGGGTGGATATCAATAAAATAGCAGTAGCTCAGTCCCACAAGTGACATATGGCCACCACTAAGCATGATGGACACTGTCCATGTCCACAGCATACTAGAACTTTGTGTGATATTCTATCCCCAAACTGTTAAAAGTGCTGATCATATATTTGTCATTCCAGTATTTATGTTATGCTTTATTCTTAGTAATTCTTTGCTATCAAGAAAGCTTTTTTTAGCTCAATTGTTTTGAAATATTTAAATTTTAATTAATTTGTAATTAATTTGTGAAGATTGTTTAATCTTAATTACTGTTTTAAGATTTATACCGTATCGTTGACACACAATCTACTTATAAGAGATGGTATGATATTTTCTTCTAGTATTAGAAACTTTAAAAAGTACATTTCCATTTTCCACTGACTTTATATTCTTTCTTGTCTTTACACACACACACACACACACACACACACACACGTATGAAAAAATATGTATATATCCCAACATAAGATTGATACTGTTTTGTAGAAATCTTCAATGACCTTTTAAATGGGTTCATCTAATACATTTTACATAGTCCTGCATAACTACCATTTTGAGAGAACTTTATTCTTTATCCAGGACCATACAGAAACTTCTCTTGCCTTCTGGATTATGCTCTTTGTTATTTTTCATATGCTACTTCTGGAAGTATTTGAATATTTTTAGTTTGTATGACTGGAAAATATTTTACTTTTAGTTTTCAAAGGGATGTTTGCTAAGCGTAAAATTCAATGAGTATAGTTTTTTTTTCAGTCCTTTGAATTAATTAGTTTAGTTTCTTATACACTTGGTGGTTTTTTTCTAATGTTTAATATGATGCTATTTCATTTTGTTCTTCCATAGATAATATTTTATGTGTATGCTTTAATGATTTTTTTCTTTACAATTAGTTTTGGGCAATTTCATTTTTGTATCTTTGTATGATTTTATTCAAATTTCTTGTACAAAGGTTTCATTTTTATTGGAAATGTGGTGTTATAATTTCAACTAAATTCAGAAATCTTTAATCTTTAAATCTTTATTTAAAGATTTCATTGTATTTAATCTTTAAATATTTATTGCCTAAATTTAAAAAAAAAAAAGAGGATACAAATGAAGGACCATTTTGTATCTGTATATACAAAATAGGATAGATATACAGCTACTTTCTGTTAATTCAATAGGAAGAAAGATTTGTACTAACAATGTTTGGAAGGGTCTCATGTGTGCATCTTGTACTATGAATAACCACTATGAAGACAACAATATGCAATGTATTAATTTTTATTTATTTATTTATTTATTTATTTATTTATTTATTTGCTGAACCAGGGATTAGAACTCAGGCCCTTGAGCTTGCCAGGGAAGCACTTATTCCACTGAGCCATCTCCCTGGCCCCTGCAATGTATTAATTATTGAAACTGTCCTATTAATCAATTTTGAAACTGTGTCATTACTATTTGTTTCTCAATAAAATAAAAAATTATTGCCTACCCCTTTCTACTTCAGGAATTCTGATTATATGAATATAAGTTTCTTGATTTTGGCACAGAGCGGACTATTACATGACTGGTAAATTCTTCATTTTTATTTTGGAAAACTTTTATTGTTATATTTATCTGTTTGTAAATAATTTATTTACAATGTATAATCTATTTTTAATCTCATGCTATATATTCATTTCAGAAATATTTCTCTGAAATTCACTCTGTCTATATCTTATATATTTCACACTTCAATATTTGTCTATAACTTTAATATGCTATATGATTATTGATTTTCGATAAAGTTAATGAGAAAAAAAGTTTAACAACAACAAAAAAAGAGAGACAATGGCTCATCTCTTAGCTTCCTCATCTCTAGCTCTATGACTGGAGGTTAAGGATGTGTGCACAGAAATGAGTCAGCCTGCCCAACCCATCCAAAGGCCTCCTCTTCAGCTGATAGCAAGCACATCCAGTGACATCAGCAGGATGGTTTATCAAAAAGTTTGATATCAGAAAGTTTAGAAATAAGTGTTCATTATTACATGTAGTGGAAATTCTGTGGCTGGTTTTACTTGATATTATTGTGGTAATTGATAATGAGTACACCATGACTGTACTTCAAATAACTTTTACTTGTGTAAGAAGCATTCATTACCCTTAATTCTCTCTTTGTTTTGGTCTTTGAATCTGTCATAAATGGTTGGTGAAAGAAATAAAGGCCTACAAGTTTTCTTGTTAAGGAGACACCTCTTCCCAGGTACCATCCACTCACCTTATTGGGCAAAGTTTCATCAATCTCTTGCTGCAGGTTCTTCAGCACATCAGGGTGAGTGGCCAATTCATACATAAGGAAGGAAAGAGCACTGCTAGTGGATTCATAGCCAGCAAAAATAAAGTTAATTGATTGGGCTGCAATCTCCAGATCAGACATAGCTAAAAAGAGAGGAAATGCCTTTCAGGTAAAGCAAGTTAATATACACATATCACAACTTAAATGAGAAATTCATAGGAATGTACCAAACCAAGGAAGAAGCATAGAGAGGAATTTAAAGTCATGTTTGGATTGGTGTTCACCCTCAAATCCATTTTGCAGGGAAAACAAATAATTCTAATCTACTTTGTTCCAAGTTATGCAGTACACTTGTCTACTTCTCCTCACTGTGGCACTCTCACCAGTATCATAGCTGGTTCATTTCGCTTTTTTAAAATGTATTTGGTACTGGATCTACAGGGTATTCAGGATCTTACTATGGATATCAGACTCATAGTGCTCCTCTTGTTGTCAACCTTCCAAGCACTGGGATTATAGCCACCATGCCACCACACCCAATCTCAATCTCAGTCGCATCATGCCCTGTGGATGGGGCCAGCACAGCATCCCCAGGATTGAACTCCAGCTGCTGCACTCTGTCTAAGCAGGTGTATTAGTCCCTGAAGCTATCTGGCTGGCCCTGGTTCATTTCAAGAGCTAGCATTTTCCCCCTATGCCTCTTAGGTCACCAACCAAATACATTAGAATAAGTAAAATTTAGGGCAGCCTTGCCACTCAGGAATAAAATTAAATTAAATTATTCTATCTGAAATAGAGATCAAAAATTGTTAAAAGAATTTGTCAAACTGTATCTTCATTGTATGAACAAATAAAGGATCTGCCATATAAACATGTTTGAGGTAAATTAAGGGAACAATAGTAGGCCACAGTGAAACTCTTGCCACCCAAATTGTGGTCCATGTACCAATAGCATCTAGAATATTATTAAAAGCACAAAATCCTATCAACAAATAAATGAGTAATACAAATGTAGAATGTATACAGGATGGAATTTTAGCCATGGAAAATAATATCATGTCATTTGTAAGGAAATGATTGAATCCAGAAACTTTGTGAAATTACCCACATTTAGAAACGTGAATATCACATGATTTCTCTTATGTAAAAAGCCTATAGGTTAATGCATAAGTAATTAAAGTAAAAAAGAGACAAATGAAAACTTGAAAGTAGACTTCTGGATACACAAAATTGGTCAAATTGGAGGGAGAGAAAAGATTAACGGAATTGAAATTGATTAGTACATTAAATTCACATACCAACTTCCTACAACAAATCACATCATCATATAGTATTAACATGTACTAATAAAATGATTTTAAGCACAGAATTCCAAACTCCATTTCATAACTACCAGATAAGAATCTAAATTCTCAGAGATATGAGATTTAAGCACACAACCTTACTTGAGAAGCAGAGATTAAATCTTTGAGAAGCATCAAGTAATGGAGTTTTCATGGGCACAAGTTTTCATGGTGAATGATCTCAAGATGTATAGAAACCATAGAAAAAAGAAAAATCTGGAAGAATTATGACTAACCCTAATCTTACTTAACCCTAATGACTGAAACCTAACTGTAATGACTCAATTTTCTTATAAATTTTATTGAGGAACAAATAGCAATGAGACAGTTTCAAGACAGGTTAGTAGGACAGTTACATTAATTAATACATTGCATATTGTTGTCTTTGTAGTAGTTATTTATAGTACAAGATGCAGACATGACATCCTGACCAAACAATATTAGTACAAATCTTCCTTCTCACTGAATTAAGAGAAAGTAACTGTATGTCTATCTTATTTAATGACTTAAAATAGTAGAAGGAAGAATATAAATAGAAGACGCTGGGATAAACTATAGAAGAACAATATTCAGCAAGTAGAATCTGTAACATTTATTCCATCATGAACTGAATCTCATATTCCTTAGTACTTATTTCCTCTCTTTAATGTACTTTATTCTCATCCAGCACCCTTATAAACATTGGCCTCCCTCTTGATTTTGTTCTGATGAAGTTCACCACCATTAGGCAATAGTCTGTTTGAGAAACTTGGAATCATCACTTTCCATATCTGAAACTCTGAAATAAACATTGACCAACCATCATGAGACTGAAAGCATAAAACATTATATGGTAGAAAGGTCTATAGAATTATGATTTACCCATGATGGTGTATATGATTCTTTGAAAATTCAACAATCAAAATGATTTCTCCCAGTTAACGCAGAATTATTGAAACTTAAAATTACTGAATTGAAGTTGAACTGTAAATTGAAAGGTTAGATACTTGCTCTGCTGTGGATCCTCAATCATGTGTTGCTATTTGCATTTAATTTTCAATGAATTTAAGTAACATTTGAACTTTAGTTCTTTGATGGCACTAACCACTTGTCAAGTGTACAATAGCTGCATATTTCTAGTGATGATACTGAATAGCACAAAAATATTGCTTTTATTGTGGCAAGTTGCATTAGACTGAAGAGAGACAAAAATTGATAGATGGATGGAAGCAGAAGTACACATAGGTTCATGCAGAACACTGTGGTGACGTCAGCACAACTCTGCTCTAGAATACATTTTTGAACATTTAGAGTTTGCATCAAATGATTAGCAAATCATTCATCACTTGCAATTAAACATGATGAAACTAGTGTGCACTTAAACCAAAGAAATAAGCTATCAATTTCTTATTTGAAAGATAGAGGGAGGGACAGGACAGAGACAGAAGAAAGTAGGAAAGAGAGAGAGGAAAAATTATGACCAGCACCGCACATGGATTGGCATAAAAATATGTATAGTCATCGATTTAATATTCCTACCTTTTTCTACTGAGAAGATATAGAAGCAAAACTAAATTTTAGTAGTCACCAACACACTAGATCTGACATTTTGGTTCCTAAGTTCCATTTCTCACTAAAAGGAACCAAGAACCCTTTGATAAATGGCTGATTCTAGGTTTGTCTGGGGAAATACAAGACAAACTTATGATATCTTCTACAAGATAATAAGCTGTTACTCAGAAAATGATAATTTTAAAGATATAGAATCCTCTGGGTGCTACACTACTGGAGGTTGATGCATGTCATTGCACATTTGTCAAAACAGATAGGGTATTATGTGCCTGGAACTAAATGCTAATGAAAACAATGAACTTGGTGATGATGATAATAACTCAACATAGGTTCATGTATTGTGACATACATGCACCACTCTGGTGGGAGATGATGATAACAGGGCAATTAATGTGTATGAAGCTGTAGAAGTATATTGAAAATCTCTATATTTTCTCATCCATAGGGCTATGAACTGAAAATGCACTAAATAATAAATTTTGGGGGAGGGGAGATAGCATAACACTCTAAGTACCTGTCTGACAAGTGTAAGGAAACAGGTTTGATCCCTGGAAACACATGCTGTGACAGCCCCAGAACCCTGGACATACTGTGCTAGCAATGGAAACTGAGTGTGGTGGCAGAGGCTTGCAATCCTTGTGCTGGGGAAGCTCAGACAAGAGGATGCCTACAAGACTGAGCTGCATAACAAGACTCTATACCAAATAAAAAAATTATTTTTTAAAATAATTCTATATTAAACTGAAAATTTGAAAAAGCAGAAAGAACCTCAGATGCCACATAAGAGTTTCCAGAAGAAAAGTCAGAGAAAAGATTACTAACAGAATCATAATAATAATGAGAATAATTGGGAATAAATAATGTCAAATTGATATAAATAAATGAGAATGTTTAAAATAAATAATGAGGAGCCCAGGACCCACTGAGTGTGTGGGAGAGCTTCTGGCTACCCTGAGACAGCGGAAAATGCCAGTCCCAGCCCAGGTGCAGCATGGGTGAGACACTCTTCCACCCCCTTGGAAACTTCCCCCACTCTGCAGCACATCCCCCACCACCCACCGAGTGAGAATTTCTGTACCGTTCTGGGGACCCCCACATCCAGCCATAACCTAGGCCTCATGAGTGTGCAGGAGACTTTCTTTTCCCTCCTACTCCAACTTGTCCCCTGCAGACTCAGATCAGGCCTGGCATACAGTCCTGGGGTGATACACTTCAGATGCAATCACTGCAGAGACAATCGGGGACAAAGCTACCCAGCTAGTCCAGGAGCAGAACATCTTGCCAGAGGGGCACAACAGGATGACCCCCAAGGGCGGCAGCAGGAAGGTGCTGAGCACAGCAGCCAGACCCAAGCCAGGCACAGCTAGATAAATCCAAACTTGGTAGATCTACACCTGAATTTCAGTAAGTGCTAAGGTTATTACTGCACCAAATCTCTGCAACAAAGGTCAGAAGACAGTGCTACACAAAATCAGAACAAGAAGGAGCAAAATGCAATCTCACACCCTAAGCCCACCCATAACAAGTGCAGAGGACAGTAACACAGAACAAATTGGGAACCACACAGCTGAAATCAATGAATCAAAAGTGTCTGACATAACAAAACAACTGCAGAAAGGTATAGAGGAACTCAGATTGGAAATGAAAAAAGAAATCCCTGAGTTAATAAATCTGCAGTAAGAATCAAATGCAGAAACATATGGAGGAAACCCAATGCCCACACAGAAAAAGTGCAAAGGACACTAGCTCAGCTGAAATGTATGAATTAATAGTATTGATAGTAAATAATCAACAGCAGAAAGATATAGAGGAACTCAGAGCTTAATTAATTTCTTAAATAAAAAATACCTGAACTCATAGCATCTGAAGTAAAGAATAAAGTAAAGAAATTTAGGGGGGAAACCCAATCCAAAGGAAACACTGCAGTAAAAAAATTAATAACTTCTTCTAAAGAAGACATGGATAAAAAATATACAGGAGATTAGAAAAATGACAGATTCCTTGAATGAGCAATACAGGAAAGAAATAGATCACATGAAGCAGAGTCAAAGAGATATAAAGGAAATTAAAATCTCAATCACAACCTTGCAAAACCGTTTAAGTGAAAGAGAAGACAGTGTTTCAGATATTGAAGAAACTGGTGCATCAAGTGAAAGAGTAAAAAAAGATCACTTAAAAACAAATAAGATGAAGAAATAAATGATTCATCACTTGCAAGATGATGCAAAGAAGAACAATGTGCAAGTA